ACAACCTCTTCCCATCAACATATTGGGAGTGATTTGGCTGGCTTTTAGCAAGAAAGGTGAACTACATAGTAATGCTAAGCTCTGTCACTGTTGTACTTTAGTAGTTAGTTTGCCTGCCCTTAGGAGCCAGACTTCATGATCAACACAAAGTCCTATTGCTAATTAGGTTTTTGCTAAACCTGCTTACAATCTGCATAGCTGCCTCATGCAATTTGCACTAGGGATCCTTCTTAGCTAGGTTTCCCAAGGATATGAGCTTCTACTGTTCTAGACTGCGTACAGTTGTCTCCCAATCCCTTGTCTCTCCAATCCCTTGGCAATTTCAACCCAAAGGTAACAGAATAGTAAGGATCTATGAGATGCTATATTCTTACAAGTTTCAACAAGGCAGCTAGCTGAGCAAAGGACAGAGCTCAGGTTAATCCAACTCTCCTGTGTGGCAGAAAGGGACTTGAACCCCAACCTCATTAGTCACAAAAAATAATATTTTAAATATCACAGAAATATTTCTCACAACATTCCTGTGCTTTATGCTACCACTGAACAGCACAGAAATTGCTACTTTGGAGTCACCTTGTTCACCCTTATACAAAATGTTTCAGCCCCTTGTACTGCAAGTGAAGGATTCCTTGAGATAAACAATGGGGAAAATCATCCAGGGCTGGTGCCACGTTCCACCAGATGCTTGTTTCCCATCACTGATGAACCTCTGTCCCTTCTCGTGAATTCCCATGTACTGAGGATACGTTCCTAAAATTGCCTTTAGTCAAAAAAAAGGGCTGTGTTTTAACCTGTTGTGTACAAAAATATTTTTAAATTGTTTCAGCAGTACAAAGCATAAAACCCCCATAGCTGTGATTGCACAAGTATATTTCTTCCTGTCCTCATGGGCAACCATCCTGTAGCCCAAAGAAGGCAGGAGATCACAGAATATTGAATTTCAGCATGTAATAATACCAAAATGCATATGCACAGGGTGAAAGAATTAAGAGACAAATGAGAAATATGGCATTTCTTAGAGGAAGAGCAGGTAACTTTGGTCTACTTATGGTCTTGGAGTGATCTCTAATTATATTGTCTGCTCCTTGGTGTGATTATTTCTTTATAACTTTGTAAGCAATTTTCAGTCTGCAAGTTTTATAAAAACATCACCTCTTGTCTTGTGCTGGTACCAATCTAAGAAATGGCCTGGTAGTCACACATTTTTATTCTTAGCAAACTACAATTGCATTTGTGTATCATTACCAACAAGGACCTAAACTAATTAAACGACAGCAGAAGCACATCACCTCTCCAGAGATGGTCTCTGATCAATAATGTCTTTTAACTCATCACTGGCTATCTGTAAAGTCTCCCACAAAAGTATAAAATACCAATCACACTGCCAAAAATGCTCAGAAAGACGGTTCCCTTGGTAGATGATGCATTCCAGTGAGAACATCAGCAACCTTGTTTGAGCCTGTGAACATACCAGTTTCCTTGTTCCCATCTCTGAATCATCATTTGCTGTTTTGATCTAGCTGACAACATATTACCTGATTTTTTTAGACTTTCAGAGGCAACTAAGTTTGAATATTGTGTGCTGCAGCAAACAGCAGCTTTACAAATCAGAGGCAGCAAATCATCGTTTCAAGAAATAGCTGAACAAGTCTTTGGCATAAGTAAAGAATTCAGGATTGGATTTTTATAAAGGCAGTTAACAGCAGTTCTTGTCAATGCTTGTTCCGGCTCCCATTTAAATCAGTACCAACAGAAATATGGGAGATCACAGGGGAAAAAACAAAACAAAACAAAACTTATTTGATCCCTATAATCCTAGGAATCCTTCCCTGAAGACAGTACCACCAAAGCAGTCCCTGTGGACCTGTAGTAGTTCCTAGTTAGAAAAACCCACACACCTTCCAGTGCCTTTCATTACTGTGTTAGTTGAACTAACCAACCTGATGCTAAAAAATTGCAAAAGCCTTCTCTACATCACACTTCCACAGGAGCAAAGGCATATAAAGAGTACTTTTGAGTAAAATTCCCCCATAGACAATTTGAAGGGTTGAACACCTTCTATAAAGCAACTAAACCTAGAGGAAAGGGAGAAGTAGCATCAAGACAAATATGTCTATGAATAAAATAAATACACCTGATCAACTCATTCCTTACACTATTAAAAAATAGCATGCTCCTGAATTCACCACTGGACAAGTTGCAGTAACCCTTTCCAGAATTTTTATAAAGCTAAAATCAATTCCAACCTGAATTTTTTAGCTTTAATTTGGTACCACTTATGTAAGGTCTTCAGCTGTTATCAGATCCATTATCAAATTCCAGTTGTTTATGTATATTCAAGATGATCAATCCCTGTTAAAGAGACTGCAGTCTTTTCAGTGCAACACATTTTCCAGTCTTCCATTCTTACGACTCTTTACTCCCTTCTCCACTTTTTCTGATCTTGAATTGCTGCCACTGAACAAGATTCACATCTCACTAAGCGTACCAGTATGAAATAAAATGGAAACAGACTATATTTAATACACACATACTTTTTTTAAATGTTGACCCATAAAACTTCTGTCCTAGTTTTAATATTAGAAACATATATTTACATTTCCTATCCCTGAAGCCTGTTAAAATCTTGTTCATAGATGCTTTTCTACAACGAAGCTTCTTGTCCTCCTCAAGTCCAATTTTTTTGTAGGGACATAGAATCACAGAATAGTTAGGGTTGGAAAGGACCTTAAGATCATCAAGTTACAACCCCCCTGCCATAAGCAGGGACACCTTACACTAAACCATATCACCCAAGGCCTCGTCCAACCAGGCCTTGAACACTGCCAGGGATGGAGCATTCACAACCTCCTTGGGCAACCTATTCCAGTGCCTCACCACCCTAACAGGAAAGAATTCCCTCCTTATATCCAATCTAAACTTCCCCTGTTTAAGTTTTAACCCACTACCCCTTGTCCTTTCACTACAGTCAATAATGAAGAGTCCCTCCCCAGCATCCCTATAGGACCCCTTCAGATACTGGAAGGCTGCTATGAGGTCTCCACACAGCCTTCTCTTCTCCAGGCTGAACAGCCCCAACTTTCTCAGCCTATCTTCATACAGGAGGTGCTCCAGTCCCCTGATCATCCTCATGGCCCTCCTCTGGACTTGTTCCAACAGTTCCATGTCCTTTTTATGTTGAGGACACCAGAACTGCACACAATACTCCAGGTGAGGTGTCATAAGAGCAGAGTAGAGGGGCAGGATCACCTCCTTCAACCTGCTGGTCACACTCCTTTTGATGCAGCCCAGGATACGGTTGGCTTTCTGGGCTGCGAGTGCACACTGAAGCCAGCTCATGTTCATTTTCTCATCAACCAACACCCCCAAGTCCTTCTCCACAGGGCTGCTCTGAATCTCTTCTCTGCCAAACCTGTGGCTGTGCCTGGGATTGCTCCGACCCAGGTGTAGGACCTTGCACTTGGCATGGTTAAACTTCATGAGGTTGGCATCAGCCCACCTCACAAGCGTGTCAAGGTCCTCTGGATGGCATTCCTTCCCTCCAGCGTATCAACGGAACCACACACCTTGGTGTCAGTGGCAAACTGCTTGGTGGCATTGGCAAATTTTACACTTTGCTTACATGAAAAGCTATGTCCCAACAAAATACAGTGGAAGGAACTCAAGACCCTGATTTCAGAACTATGGAGAAGTAAGTCATCAATACTTTGCCTTTTTTATATATACAAGACATGCATAGAATATACATACACAAAGTGTGTATTTTACACTTGATGAGAAGCACAATTAGTATTCATGTAAGCATTACAGATAAATTGCTTTTTACATATGCAATAATGGTTCAACAAATAGTAAAAACCATAAAATTTCTGGTGTATTCTTCCTGTGTTACAGATTCTAACTTTTGTTACATACTACAACCAAAACTCAATCTCATTTCAGAAAAGTTTAGACTAGGATTTACCAGTTATCTGCTGTATTAAGTAGGCTGGGAATATCCTTTTCACAGTTTACATAGGTCAGCTCCTCTCCAGCACTTCACCCCCTTTTGAAAACATTAACATATTTGTCATGGTTTAAGCCCAGCCAGTAACTCAGAGCCATGCAGCCACTCGCTCACTTCCCCTTCCTCTTCCGATCCCCGCTCCTGGAGGGATGGGGAGGAGAATCAAAAGACTGCAACTCCCACGGGTTGAGATAAGAACAGTCCAGTAACTAAGGTATAACATAAAACCACTACTGCTACCACCAGTAATACAAATAATGATAAGGGGAATAACAAGGGAAGAGAATACAACCACTCACCACCCGCCGACCGATAACCAGCCTGTCCCAAGCAGTGATCTAGCCCTTCCAGGTAACTCACCCAGTTTATATACTGGGTATGGAATACCCCTTTGGCCTGTCTGGGTCAGGTGTCCTGTCTCTGCTTTCTCTCAGCTTCCCCTCGTCCCTAGTAGAGCATGAGATTCAAAAAGTCCTTGGTTGGAGTAAACATTACTGAGCAACAACTAAAAACCTTCAGCGTTACCAGCACTGTCCCCAGGCTGAAATTCAAAAACACTGCACTGCACCAGCTACTAAGGAGAAAAATGACTGCTACTGCTGAACCCAGGACACATATTCAAGTGAAAAGCCATCAACTAAGATTAAAAAAAAAAAAAAAAAAAAAAGGCAAAAACTAACCCCCAAACTTTACTTTTGAGCAAAGCCCCCATTGCTTTTTACACAACTTTTGAGCACTGAAGAGGTTGCCTAGAGATTTTGTGGTGTCTCCATCCTTGGGAGATATTCAAAAGTCACCTGGACATAGCCTTGTGCAGCCTGCTCTAGGTGACCCTGCCTGAGCAGGGGAGTTGAACAAGATAACCTTCAGAGGTCCCTTCTGACCTCATCTAATCTTCAATTTTATACAGCTTTGGTTTGTAAAGCTGATTTTTCCCAGCATCTAAGAAGATTCAGTTTAGTGATTAATAAATCAAGAAACAACTTAACTTCAATTATCCACACAAAATCAAGTGTTTATTTACTATTTACAAGTATAAACAGATTAATGCTACAAGTACTCTGTCATGTTCTTCATTATCATGGCAGCACCTTAGATAAGGACAACATATTATGCAAGTAAGCCCTGGTTTTATCAGGCACATCATAAGTGATGCTTTCCCATAGTTCTAGACATCTTTAGTACTAAAAGCAATTGCACACTGGATTTTTCTATTTTTGGTCAAACAGATACAAGATTCTATTATTTTTATCAAAAGATTAGTTGCTTATTTGGGCACAAGTCATAACAGCCTTCTCACTTCAGTATTTTACAGTATCAACAACTTCTGGCTTTGCAGAGAACATTTACCTCCTCCCCCCCAAAGTCAGTCGGGGAACCATCGCCATCAGATACTGTGAACAAGCTGAATTCCATCATTTCAGTTGCAAGACAACCTTCAAAAAGAAGAAATAAGATTAAAGTTGAATGAGACCAGAACTTAAGCAGTTTAGGAAATACAGCTTTGTGCTTTCTGTTACAGTATGACATGCACCTGTATAAACATGCCTTTCCTCTGGAAAATACACCATCCCTCTCTCAGCTGTCTTTTACAATCTCACACAACACTCACTTCCAACAAGTTTCTTTAGCATTTAATGCATGCAAATCATTCCTCAGCTCCCTGTAATCAAAAAGCAGAATGGTCCAGTGAGATTCCTTCCACACAAAGTAGAACTGAGGGACCATTCCTAGAGTGAATTCTTCCTTGTGTGCACATAAAACTAAGTAAGGAGATTACAACATCCCACAGTTTCCATTCAGAACTTTAAGCAGAACAAAAGTCGTGTGGAGACTGAAGTCTGTCCCAGAAGAATCTCTGTTTGCATAGTGCAAAGTTCACAACAAGCTACTGATTTTGTTTAGTTTTGGAGAAAAAAAAATCCAGGGGAAAGAAAGCTGTTAGCTCTCATTCCACAAGACCATCACCTGTATCTGGACTAATACATTTATCTCACTAGGAACTGTGTAGTCAGTTAGAGGTCTCTCATCAGCCTCATTAAAGCAACAGATAAGACATAATTTTAGTGTCTTTTGTAATTCAAAATATTAACAGTGCTATTGTAACTTAAGTTTTAACTTTATGAGCTATAAAACTATTATTTTCAGCTGTCACATACTGACAGTTTTTCCTAAATGTTCTACAGATTCCAGCTACAGCATCACAACATTACATAAAACATCTAAATAAATCCCTTAGTTGCTAAATGTCATGAAGCAACTAGAAGCTGCTAATTTCTAGAACATGCTGATACAACATTTCCATACTCATCCTGCAATATGTCAGAGAATTCCATCTCTCAGATAATACACAATAAATATTTAAGAGATTTTCAGATTTAAAAACAAAACAAAACAATTTTCCTTTTTAACAGAGCCAGTATTAATACTAAAAGGTAACTGAACAAGGAGGGACTCCAAGATTCAGTTATCACCAGGGTGCAAGTCAGATGACACTTCCCCCAACAATTTTTTTTCAAATTGTCACTTCTTTTAGTCTTTTCTATTAAGAAATCTGAAACACTCCAATTAAAGTTTCAAATTCTTTTTCTTCTTGGGTTACTGTAGTGGAATCTTTGTAGCTTTCCCCCCGATTTACTATGCTATGGAAATTAAAGCACACAATTTCAACCAAACAACTCTCCCATGTACATTCCCAACCACTGAAATTTTGTGATGCTGGGTGAACTCTGGAGTTCTCTCCAATCATTCAAAATCAACTCTCATCTGACATTTGTCATTTCATTTTCTTCTCCTCCTATTCTCCCAAGACTTTAAGGTGTTCTGAACAGTCTACAATGCTTATCAGGATTCTAATTACATCTTAAAAAAAAATAATAATAACCTATAATCAACTGTGGTAAATTACCCCTGAAGTCCACCCAGGATAGTCTTCCTTGTGTATGACTTTCTGTAACTCTATCATTTTGCTCATGTTGGGTTTATGTTGGGTTTCCATCAAGACAGCCAGAACAAACAATGTGGCTGGTATCTACTACAGTCCACCTTATCAAGGGAAGCCTGTTGACAAAGCCTGTTTATTCCAGCTACAGGAGGCATCACTCCATCCCTGGAAACATTCAAGGTCAGCTGGACCAGGCTCTGAGCCACCTGATTTAGTTAAAGATGTCCCTGCTCATTGCAGAGGGACTGGACTAGATGACCATTAAAGGTCCCTTCCAACTCAAACTATTCTATTATCCCATGAATTTCAGTTAAACTCAGTACATGAGAAGTCAGGAAAAAAAAGATGGTATCAGTAAAAACTACCTTATTAGCAGCTTCCAGTGAGTTTATTAGGTTCTGCAACTCCTCCTTATTCATCTCTATAGACACTGGTTTAATTTCACCATTTTCTCTCACATCCAAATCAAGATTGAGAAGTGGCATCTGAAGCATGGAGATCTTATCACTGGAAAGAGCAAGCTACGCAGATTGATGAAACAACAATAACAACATGTACAGCAGAACCATTCAGTTTTCAGTCTTTCACAGCATCACATCTGCACTTTATTTTGAACGTGTACTACCAGAAGGAACAAACATCAGCATGACAAAATTAACTTGTCATAAATCATCTCTGCAGGTTTTGGTCTTGTGGTTTTGTTATGTGTCTTCACCCCACTCCCCTGCTGGGAATTTTAATTGTTTATACTAAGAACATACTGAAATACTAAACCCCCTGCTCATAGCAATACATTTGTCAAAACAATTTGTTAAAAGTACTGGTCTGCTATATTTTTGCATTCCAGGTGAAAAGAGAGGATACATTTGACCATGGCTCTTTAAAAACGAAGTATATGAATTCTGAAGTCATTGTATTCAAATAGTTCTGGTAATCAACAAGTAAGAAGAGTCTTACAGAAGTTGGGAGAAAGGGGACACCTTTGTCCATTTTTCAACTCTCCCTACAGCTGATAAAACACTTTGTCAAATATTCTATCGGACAAGCACTGATGAAAAGGATTACACACCAACAGTGCTTTCTTTTTTGTTTACTATGATACTCACTCTATAACTAAGGCTTATTACAAATATTAAAATCAAAGATTAGTTGGTAATACAATAGATATTCTACAGACCCATCTTATTTGAGATCAGAATGTGATACAGCAGAGGAGACAATGAGACAATGTCCTTGGTAGGATTCAGCTATTGTAAACTAAAAAAATCCCCAGTGATTTAATGCAAAATGAATAGTTCAAACATGCACCAGAAATCTCCATTACAAAATAGAGAATTAAAAAAAAAAAAAAAAAAAAATAATCTTTCAGAAGACAATGCTAAGTGAAACACAAACCCCCCCAAGGGTTCACATAAGTCTAGTCTCTATTTCTGTCAGCACAAAATGCAGTTAGTACGAGAACAATCCCCTAATAACAGTTCATCTGAAACACACTACAATGCCATACTTGCTCTTGCAGAATCTTGTCTACTTGTAGGCATTGCTCCTTGATTTCCAAAGCTGTTTCCTGCACAAACTGTTTAACACTCTTGTTGAAATGGGAAAGCATTTAACAGCTCTACAAATCTGTTTCACAGCTCTCATGGATTAACTAAAAATATAAACAGTATGTCACATTGTTAAGTCTTTGATACAGCTCAATTTAAGGCAGCTGTCTTCATAAACCCAAACTGTAGGCAACACAGTCATCATTGGTTTATTATCAAAGTAAGTCTAATGATAAATAATTTCAAACTAATTAATTTTTTATTGCAGGAATCTAAAGATCTGAAAAAGTCAGGGAAGCACATCCTGAATCAGTGTTCTACTCCTGAAATTAAATATTTCTTCTTCCTTTGACTAAATATATTGTCTTTTCAGGCCTCAAACCCAAAACTTTCAGGTGTTCCTGAATAATGTTCAATTTCCTTTTAGGAAAGAGATTGGTATTACAGCTTTGAAAGAAGGGGGGCAGAATTTTACTTTTACAGTTTATACAAATTTCAGGCAAGTATTTGATGTGTTACCATGAACAGGTTTTTCTGATACCTATGAAAATTTAACCATTCTCCAGAATGAGCTGGCCTAAGGGATCTATATCAACATTTATTTTCTTGTAGAACACTTCTTTCAAACAACATCAAGGCAACACTCTCACCTTTAACTGCCAGTCAAAATCCTGCAGCTGAGAAGAAGAGATTGCATTTACTCTTTCCACTAGTGCATTCCTGATTTCTTCCTTTCTGCCTTTTAGGCATTTTGTGATTGCTTCTTGATAGCTTGAATTTAATTCATTTATCTGCTGAGCAGCCTACAAAAATAAAAATTGTGATTGGGTAAACTATGAACCACAGAAATAACATGTATCACCTGTAACAGCTGTGCTCCGTAGATACCCAAGCTTCTACCCAAATAGCCGTTATACTGGACTCCATAATCTCATTTTATAATCTCCTCAGTGAGCGCTCCGTGTTTGATAGTTAAGAATTGGTATTTTCCACAGCAAGGTATAAATAAAAAGTTATTTTCTTGTCATTTATATTATGAAAGACGAAAGAATGGAGGCTTGAGTGGCCTTCTTAGATGCTACCCTAAAACCAAACCAAAACAAAAATCACACAAACAATGCCTGTTTAGCTCTGAAGGTTTCTGAAAAATCATAGTGGAGACAAAATACATTAGCTTAGCTGGAAAAAAAATAATTATGTACACTTACCAATGGCTACAAAGTATTTTTCTTTGACCTAGCTACTATCAGGTAGCCAAAACAAGAACAACACGCAAAAGATGGGAATTAAGATTTTTGATAATGGAACAAATTTTTCCAAAGCTTTTACACACTGGAATGCCCTGAATATATTCCCTGTCCTACATGGTGCTCCATTCACAGTCTAGATGTTTTTACTATTATTTGCATAGAGTCAACACTTTAAAACACTTCAATGCAGTAGTAATGAACCAATAAAGCCAAAAAGAGTGTGAATGGGTTTTATTACTGATGAACAGTAACGACAGGTTACAGATTTTAAGGAAAACAGATTTGGTGATACTTGAGAAATCAGTACCAATTCAGTTTTTTAAGTCTTTGCAGTGTATCTCTAGAGGCAGCTCACCTACCTATTTAACTTAGTCTGCTACTAGTCAAATGCTACATAATAAAAATACCTTAGGACTAAATAAACTACAAGACTAATCACTCCAGTATTCTGCCTCCCAAAGTCAAGCCCAATCAGTTATGAGCCCTTACCTCTTCATCAGATATGTTTTTGCCAACTGCAGTTTTGAAATACATCCCTGTTTCTTCTAAAACCTCCATCCACTCCAACAAGCTCCAGATATTGCCATAATCTTTGTATCGAGGATACGCACGGCCACATATGCCATCAACTATTTTATGAAGAAACTGAAACAATGTGATATATAACTTAAAAGCATAATTTTATCACTGATAACCAGATACAAGACTTGATCAAGAAATTCACTTGCAACCCCTCCCTTGGCTGGGTATTGTCTCAATGCCCGAGTGCAGCCAATGCACATTCTATAGTCATAAAGAGGTTGTCCCAGAATATTAACTATCCTCCCCCACAAGGTTTGGTAATGTAAATCACAACGTGATTCAGATTCACCCTGGATTTAATGGTTTTGTGTACAACTATATCGTACTGCCGAGCAGCAGTGCTGCCACATCAAAGGGCACCTCAGTCATTTCCCCCCTCAGCGCCTGTGTTCGGACGGAGAAAGCCCTGTCTGTTAAGAGCTCAAGGATATTTCTAATCAGCTAATAGCAAAGCAAGCGCAGTAACACCCGCTGCGTGCACGTCCGGCGCGTTCTGAGCCTATACTTTCGCCTTCGCTTTGCAGAGGGCACCGAGGGCGGGCAGTACGGTGGCGGCCCCGAGGCGCGCTAAAAGGCGAGGTCCCGGTCTGCGGGCCCAGCCTTCCTCTTTGGTGCCGGAGAGAGGCTCCTCTGCCCCCCCGCGGCGACCACCGCCCTCCCCAGCCTCGGCGACAGTGACCAGGATGCAGGCGCCTGCCGCCGCCGAGCCCCACCCTCTTCCCAAGTTCGCTTCACGACAGGAACCGCCCGAGTGCCCCTGCTTAACGGTCCGCAGCAGCCCCGCCGCGCGGGGAGACAGGCGAGCTGGTGACTGATACGGCGGCCGCGGCTCCTCCTGCCTCGGAGGCGCCGGGGCCCGCTGCTGCCCGCCCAGGGTCGCAAGGACCTCACCTCGAGGGCCCGTCCCGGCGGCAGCTTCTCCAGCAGCCGCAGCATCTCCCGGCTTCCCCGCACCGCCCCACGCGGGGCACGTGACCGGGCCGCGAGCACGCGCTCCCTCTTCCCCTCCGCGGCGGCGCGCTTGCGCACGAGCAAACGTCGTCTTCCTGCGCCTACTTCCTAGGTTCGAGCCTCAGGCCCGGCGCCGCGAGGGTCGCTTGAGGGTTTAGTGAGGAAAGCGGCCGTTCTGTGCAACCTTCACTTACATGGCGAAAATACTCCCAAAATTTTACCATCTTTTATATTAACAATAAACTGGTTTTTATACTCTTCCTGCTTTGCAGCTTTGCCTTTCGGTCTCAACAAGGTAACTTTCTTGCTGGTGTCAGGGGAAGAAGTTCAAGGCTTACATACAGCAGGTGACACATTCTCTGACATGAAATGGAATCGAGGACATTAGGGGAAATACTAGCTACAGAGTCCATGCTGCTGGTACAGTGTCTACTGCAAATAACTCATTTTTTTCCTTTGCCAAAGGTGGGGGGGGTCAGTGCTAACCAGCCTGTGGAGGAGGCTTATGGAAAAGGTTTTAGCATTAGCAATGACCTTGCCATACCTTAACTTGAACTGAATGCAGATGTGAAGAAGCAAAGATGCCTTGACCACTTGTACAAGAAAACCTGTATGAATTCAAGTCCCAACAAGAAACTGATATACCTGTAGGCAGATCTTATTTCACTGAAATCCATAGGCTAATTCACAGTTATGTGTATGTAAATAGAAGACTCTGACATAAGAATATGAAGGCAGCTACAAGTCTTTACTTGTGGAAATAAGATCTGAAGGAAACCCCAGTGTGGTTAAGCGAGTTTGCAACACTTGTTCTCCAAAGACGGTATGTGGCCTTGTAGGAACACTGTGGTGTGGGGGAGTTTTGGAGAAGAAATAGGTAGGGAAGAACTGACTTCGTGGTTTGCTGACTGTAAACTTTCAGATCTGCCTGATTTCTCTCACGGTTTGCTACGGTGAGTAGATTAGATTTTTAAATAAAGGCTTTGGAAAATGTATTAAATTTTATTATGGCAAAATTACATGAAGCTACTGTTAAATTCATTAACAGCTGAAAATGCAAATAAAAATTATATTAATTATATTATTTTCAATAATAATTCACTCTATTTCCCTAGAATTAGCTTTGTCAGATAACTGGAAACCTATGCAGTTTCTTCTCATCGTACTATGTTGCACACCGCAAAATACAGCACCAGGGGGAGCTTCTGCTCCAAACAAAAGAAACCCAAAGAAAACAGGAGAAATGTAAAACAATCCAGACTTGAAAATAAATAAATTACAGGGAATAAGGAGAAAGGTTACAAGTCTTCTACTCACTTGTTCAAAGGGATCAAACAAGTGACAAATGCGAGAGAGCAAATATGTAACACATAAAAGAGGAACACATTCTCTGACAATCTCAGTGAACACTTTCAAAGCACCTTAGTCTTTGCAGGTCTGAAGAACAAAAGACTTCCATTTTTCATAGGTGTGTAGTTTAGAATAATACTTTGGATTCAGCCTACTGACATATGAAAAGCAAAACCAGACTGTGAAAGGAAACCATGTCTGAGTAAGCTAAGTCCATGTTTTAGAGCCCATGTACAACTACAAAGTAGGACATACAAAGCCAGCCTTTAGCATTTCAGGGTTTGTTTGGACTTGCATTGTTTGGATCCACCATCAAGACTTAGGTCTTAAAAATACCTGCTCTTCATGCTTCTGTACCACAGAAGCAATAAGCCGCTCCACCCCTCTGAAGCTAAGCTGTGAAATAACCACAGAGACAAGGAGGGAAGCTTTGACAACAGTTAAGCAGGTAGGCAAGAGACTCCAGAGCAGCAAGAAAAGAAGCAGCTTTATAAGAAAGAAAAGTGGAGCGAACGTTGTGTTATATTCTTCACATTGCTGCTGACTTAGAGAGGGTTTTGCTTGCTTTTACAGATAACCCACAAACTGAATTGCACTAATTAAACCAATTTTAAAAGGAATCCTTTTGTTATACTTGGTTTTGGAAGAATGGCAATAATTAACAACTGGGAAGTAATTTAATAATCAGAGGTTCTTAATATTATAGCAGTATAAAGGTGTTTTACTTTGCTCTAAATATCTGCAGTTGGGGAGAGCAGCTGAGTACTAGTATAACTGTTCTCCCAAGGAACTATAAAATTGGTATGTCAATATAAATAATAGATAGCTGTGTATTTTACCAACATGGAGGGAGCAAGTAAGTGGGCTTTTTAAATGCAGATGAAACACAAGGTTGCAGTTCAGATTATGGTGAGCTAAATGCAGGTTGCCATGGAAAAGGGAGATCCCACTGGTCCTCTAACCCCTGTTGCCAGCTCTGCTTCCTCTTGCCATCCCTCACACCAGCACTAGGGTGCCTGGGCTGCAGGATGAAACTGCAACTGATACGGCTGAAAACTGTTATTTTTGCACAGATTTATTTTTTCATGGGTTAGATTTCAGCCAGGTTGGAACAGAGCACCACTTCTGACAGAAGAGACCTTTGTTGCTGAGACCGAGAGGGAGGACAAAACTACCCCTTCTGGCAACCCACACTTAGGTGAGATGAAAGGTTAAACTGGTGCTGAAACTACAGCTTGACATGAGTATCAATCAGTGAAACACATTCATTGTTAAACCAGGAATCTTGAAAGCTTTTGTAGAAGCTTACACATAAACATGTTCATAGTGATATGCTACAGCTGAAGGAGATTGAAAATAATGTATGTCTACTTAATTTTTACAATCTGAGCAGCCAGAGAAGTTCATAGTAAGGCTGGATGAAAAACATGACACTGATGTGCAGAACATACTTTATCAGCTAGTTCCTGAACAAGAAATCAGTTTTTAAAATAATTTTACTTGTAAAATTTAAGCATATAAAAGCATGACAAGTTTTGGTTCTTCCCTCCCCCATTTTGTAAATATAATACTCGTGTATTCACTCTATGAGACATGAAAAATACCACGTCATACACAGCGGATACAGTCTATGTCCATAGCTTTATACTTGTCTTTATCTTCTCTACCTTTTTCTAGTAAAGAGATGTAACAAGAAGGATTACCTTAAATGTTCTTGGTTTCTCACTCTGAAATTTCAAAATCATCTTGTTGCTTTCTGTAGTAGTTCTACCCTTCCAACAGACTTCACTGAAGACCTAGCAATAGTTGCGAGGCACATGCTCAGGGTTCAACATCACCTTAGAGACACACAATTTATAGACTGAACTCTGTACTGCCTTTTACAGACAAGAACATACTAAAGAGATCATTCAAAAGAGTTCTGCCACACTGCAAGAATTTCAGTGAGGAACTGCTATTGGCAGAGACTCTCCGAGCATATTTTGAAGCATCAGAGGGGAAAAATCTTGGTTATATTCTAAATAAAACAAGTTAATATTAAAGGAATTTTTAAATATCTGTGCTGTATACATCTTGGCCCAGCTGAGATAGTGGAAGGGCCAGGAGCTGGCATCATACCTAGTAGTCTGCAGGACAGAGGCAGGGGAATAGCTTGGACTAGAAGAGTCTGTAGTTGGCTTGAGCCATATACCCACAAAAATAACAGCTCATAACTCAAGACAAACTGGTGTCAGTAACTGGGACTCTATGCTCATGAGGATCACTGGTCACTGTCTCCTGTCCACAGCTGGGCAGGCACAGACTTAGTCTGTCTTTCCTCTCCTGTCCAGAAGACACACTCCTTTGCATGAGCTTCTTCGACAGGACTGGGAGGAGCCACCATCTCCTGTCCTCCAGACTGTCTATGAATATTCTCCCAACTTTCCCACAATTCTGGTTCATTATTTTATCCCACGCTCAGGGAACATGCAGAGAGTTCATTTTCATCCAATACATTGCTACCATTTTATAATGAAAAATCTATTGTTACCATTTCTATTTCTCTACATTTCTATTCCTTTGTTCATGCTTAAGAGTTTTAGGTAAACTAAGTATCAGATACACATCAGGGCCAGAATTTACTCACCATATGCAGGTCTAACGATTGTAATGGCTGGAATGCAAAAAGGCAACAACAGAAAATGAATAATCCCTTATAGGGCAGATGCAGTAAAACCAAAACCCAAATATTTCTCCCCTTCTCTAAGCCTAACTTTAATATTTTAATATTAATAATGAATGATAAGAGTATGTTGGTGTTTGCAAAATTTTTTGGACATCATAAAGATAAAAGAAAATGCCCTCTGGGTAGATTATGGTGACTCTTAGCCCTGCTAGTAAACAACAATTAGCAGAGACTGGAATATGTTGCATAGCAAGTTGCACCACACGTCATAATAGCAGTGGGGAGAAAGTATTCCTAAAATAGTAAACACACTACCAGGTACATCTCCCATCATTCACACAAGGAATTCATAGACTTTATTTATTAGACTACTTTGAGTTGAGAGCTACTATGGTAGCTACTACAGATTTTATTTTTATCACATAGTACTTTAATGAAAACAGCTGTTGGTCAAATAGTTACTCTTGCAAAACTTTTTTTTTCTGACAGAGGTTTTTTCAAACAAGGGTATATAAAGGGAAAGTAATTTTAACAGACTAAGAAAAAACATTGTTTATTTATACAGCTATGTCCATGTTAAGAGTACCTTTGACAGTATGGCACAGCAGTGCTTTTTTACCACTGAATCTCTTCCAGGATAAATACAGCCAACTTGCTTTCAAGGCAAATGGCTTTGGGATTTACAAGTCTTTCTCAGTCTGTGTCCAGTTTGGCAGCATATCATGCTGCCCAAAAAGCCTGTAATTCTTTGGGGTCTCTAAATAACAGATAAGCAGCAGCTTTTCACATCTAGCTCCTACTTCTGCCCTTCTCTTTTCCATGGAAAATAGCAATCAAACAGACTTCACTGAAGATGTTCCTAGACTCCCATTAAAGAATAAATCCCATCTCTCCATGCCTGTATCCAACTAAGTAAGATGGAGTCAGTTAGTACGCTTTTGATAGGATACTAGGTTTCCTAAAATTAGATTACCTATCTTATGAAAAAACAGCCATGGATTTTCCCATGTGGAAAACACCTGAGCGAATTGAAAGTCCAAGTGGCATCCTCATATCCATCTACTGAATTATTTTTATTTATTAAAGAAAGGGATGTAGTAGATATAAGCAACTATGTTAAAATACTGACAAATTTTGTCTGGCAAGCTGGAGTAATCTGTTCAGCAGAAATTATGAGTTAGAAAAACTGTAAAAGAAAAGTGAAAAAAAAAAAATCCTTGAGGAAAATTATAACCCAGACAATAAGTTTCTACAAGCAAAGAGGAAAAAGCAACATTTACAAAATAGCTCATTTTGTAACACTGACTCAGCCCATTTTATGAGCCAGTAGAGTGGTTTGGTTAAAAAAGATGCAGAATTAAAGTTGTTTTATGGACCAGATAAAATCAACAAGTCAACTTGTTCATATATACAGTGGAAAGGAAGACACAGAAGCACATATCGTGTGTATCAAAAGTGTTCTGATGCACAATAAAACTGTAACAGTGTAAACAAGCTAATAACAGGTTTACAGCTGTAGGTAAGATAAGGCTGAAGATTAGCCATGGGAAATTGCCACACCACAGTAAACAGAAAAAGAAGGGATAAAGCAATTTATCCAAGTGCATCAAAGCTGCCTATGTGAAATTCCACTTGGCTACTACTACTTTCCAACCATACACACATACAGAAGTAGCAGATGATGTTCCTCTTCTTTATAGTTTCTTACTTCTTATTCAATAGGCCCATGTTAGTTCAGCAGAACAGCAAACCTCGGTTGATAGAGGCTGGAATCTCACTATAGATTACCAAGTCAGCTTCCTTAGTGTAGAAAGATCTAATGCCAAGTAGTAAATTCCTGCTCCATTAGAAGCTGCAGTAAGATGATGATGTCTCATTTAAGATAATTTTCTGCTTTTCCTGGTAATTAGAGCCCCTTAAAAGCGCTCTTTCAGATTCTTTAATTCCAGTTGATAGTTACTTTCTGCAGAACGGTCACTGAATGAAAATCCCTTCAACAGAAGGTTCCATCATCTTAGTGACTATCATGATGGAAGTTCCTAATACACATGATGGCTAAAACTCAGTGAGTGGTATATCAGTAAATGCTACATCAATAATAATTATGGCTACTGACTGCTACTAATTGCCCTCAAGAGTAGAGATATAAAACAAGCTTCCTGATTCCTGGCATTCTGCAATTGGATAAACATAATGGTATAAACCACAGGCAAAACATGAGGACTGCATGAGTGAATACTACAGTTACTCCCTTAAAATTTGTCTACATAAACTATGTCATGGCAACTTATCCAGCATTAACTGAACGGATTTGTTAAACTACACTGCACCTTTACTTTTATTCAGAATTCAGTTAGCCTTCATTTGGTTTGATATAAGTCATTCTTATCTGGTTTACTTTAGCAAAACAAAGGTGGATGGATAAACACCAGGAACAAAAAAGAACTCTTTAAACTGTTAAAAAAGTGGTCACTGCTAGTATAAGAGCAAATGGTATGAGATTGGGTTTAGAAGCTAATTTTTAACCCTCATAGCAACCATACTCTGGAACAGTTTTCTAATACAGTAATATGAGCAAAAGACCTAATTATTACTTTAAAGATAAAGCTTAATCAATTTATGAACCAGATTACATGGCATGCTTACAATAACAAGGGAATAGATTCAATAACCCAGAAGGTGCCTTTCAGGAAAGTTCCCATGATAATATTCACATACCTACTCTACTTCTCTCAAGATCTGCCAGAAGTACATAATTTACACAGAACATATCTTGCCCTGTAAAAATAGAAAAAGAAAAGTTAGCTCTTTCAAACTGAGCAGGTAGTCTCAGAATCGCTAGGAAACACTTTCACATTGTGGTGTTTCTTCTCCCTTGTTTTATTTTTTTTCATTTGTAAAAGTAGTAATACCTTCTGGTCTCACAGGAAGCTGTGAAGGAATATTAACGAATATTTATAAAATGCTTAGTCAAGTGATGAACAGAATCTTCTCTATGAGGAAAGCGAAACAGATGTAGATGGTGTACAGTAAATAAAGGTTATAGCCACACACAGGGTAGAACAAATAAACAGCTGCCTCATTCACTGTGCATCCATCATCCTGTAAATTGAGTCAGACTGGAGTCCTGTCAGGAAACGTATCTGAGGATCCTGTAGTAAGAGACTACCTTAGTGCAAATGCACAACAGACAGCTTTAATTTTCACTGGCAAAATATTGGGGTTTCGCATATAACATTGGTTAGGACTCTAAAAGCATCATTTAGCCAATGATCTTTTAAACAATAACACAATGTAATCTAAAATTTAAGGGTTTTGGTGAAATGTCTGCTACAGTTAAATTATCTGGGTTTACTGCAGAGCTAAGATGAAAAAAGACAATCAACTTACTGGTTGATAATCAAGTCCCTTTCTGGCTACAAATTATGACTAATAAGCTACCACATCTTCAAAGATATTTAAAGCAGAGGGCATATCATAGTATATCACTATTTACCTGTACGCAGGTACTTCACTGACCTGATATAAATGCACCTTTACTCACTAAGCTGATTCAGGAGCATTCAGGCTGCAATAATGATAACCATCTACGTCTTACAAACCCAAATCCCTTCTGGCACTGCTATTTATGTGGATTTGACACTGGAATGTCTGGGGAATCATACTCAGGTCCTTAACATTTCATTACTTCGAGGTACTCTGGGAAATGTTTCATGGCATGCTGTGACAAATTTCCCTCTTCCTTCCAGGTGTTTGTGGGAAAGTTTTCAGTCTGCAAGCATGTTTAGTTGACAGTTCCCATGATATAGTTCCTCTCTTTCATCTGTCCCAACCAGTGGCAATGTGAGCACAGCTGGAAGAGCTGCTCATGCTTGTACTTGCAAGGTTATTGCAGCCATGAACAGATTGAGAGTTTGAAGAACACAGAAGACTAAAGAGCTGTCCAACTGTTCCCATCAATGTCTATCACATACCCATAGTTCTCCCTTTTCATGTGGTAGTTCAGGAGATAATATGAGAGACACCTGCAGGCCTCTCTGTCTAAAAAGGGGTATATACTTGTGGATAACACTCAGTGTTATTACCTCCACAGAGAAAAGCTATCAGTGGGATTTCTCTATCAAGCATTATCTCTGGTGACTATCTTCTCTG